TGCCTGGAAAAGCGCATTTTCCGAACAGATTGTTGGTTGAATGAACTTTATCAAAGTTGGGAAAAGTTGATTGATATTTTCATTGATATGGGTTCTATTCTCTAATTGCAGCTTCTCCAAGATGGCCAAGTACTCGGGAAAGAAGTGCCGCCTGCTCTCCATGATGTGGCTGACGGCGTTCTTTTTCTTTGTGGAAATCATCGTTGGATATGTGACCAACTCCATGGCTTTGGTGGCCGACAGTTTCCATATGCTGGGTGACATCGCCGCTTTGGTTATATCATTTCTGTCTGTGAAGGTACGTCCCTCCCCCAAGAACCCCCCGCCCTATAGGTAATACACCGCTCTAATGCCTCCTCCTCTTTTTATGTCTCTCTCTCTCTGGACAGATGTCACCGAAAAAATGGTCGAAGAACACCTTTGGCTGGGCCCGTGCCGAGGTGCTGGGTGCTTTGGTCAATGCCGTGTTTCTGGTGGCGCTATGCTTCAGCATCACCATTGAGGCGTGCAAGCGGTGAGTGTCATTGGGATTTGGAACGGCAGTTGCAATTGCTGTTGCTATTGAGAGTAATTACATATTAAAAGTCCGCACCCCAGTGGATTCGATCGGATTGGATCGATCGGAGTTGATCTGTGAGAGGAGGAGCATTAAGCCATAAGCTTGTCGACGTGATTTGATTACATTTTCTGAAATTATCTTAATTTTATTCGTGTTAATGCCACCACCTGCCTTTCTGCCTGCCTGCCTGCCTGCCACTAGGGCAATGTGTGTGCGTGTGCGTGCGAGTGTACGTGTGTTTGGGCTTTTATTCAATTTGCATTCCGTGCGCATATTCTCCGCATACGTTTACGAGGTGAAGCAGATACCCTTTCGATTGGTTGGGGGGTACGACAGCTACGGCTTCCAGGATGCCTCGCCTCATCGACTACCATCCACTAATCCCATCGCTCACATTCAATGCTCGACTGCGAAAGAGAATGCCCGAGAATTTCTTTTGAAATCGTTTTCTTGCTTTCATTTTCAGATTCATTGAAATGGAGGAAATCCATCAACCCAAGCTCTTGGTTATTGTCGGAGTCCTGGGACTGCTCGTGAATGTGATTGGACTGTGTCTGCTGTATGGTAAGATATACACTCTATCGAAACCCTTATCGATGTACCGCCAACAGAATGGAATGTGTTACTTCTTTCAGAGCATGGCGGGCACCATGGACACTCGCATGGCGGCGGTCTCACCCGCAACCACAGTCGCCTCACCGAACTGGCCAACATGGACGAGGGCGATGGCGATGATGAGCAGAATGATTATGCCTACGAGAAGCAAAAGGAGAAGAAACAAATCAAGAAGTCCAGCCATGGCCACAGCCATGATCCTGGTTCGATGAACATGCGCGGCGCCTTTCTGCACGTGCTCAGCGATGCCCTGGGCAGCGTCATTGTGGTCATCAGTGCTGTGGTGGTGTGGACGACTAAGTGGAAGTATCGCTTCTATATGGATCCAGCTCTGTCGATTGTGCTGGTGGTGCTCATCTTGCACTCTGTGTGGCCGTTGTTGCGTGAATCCGCCTTGATTCTGCTGCAGACTGTGCCCACGCACATCCAGGTGGATGCCATACAGAAGCGTCTGCTGGAGAAGGTCGATGGTGTGCTGGCAGTGCATGAGTTTCATGTGTGGCAGCTGGCAGGCGATCGCATCATTGCCTCTGCACACATACGGTAAGTGGAATAGCTGGAAGCTGCATTCATAATCCGTTAAATGTTCAATGTTCAATGATTAATGATTAATCGCTCTCTTTAAAGCTGCCGCAATCTGTCGGAATACATGAAAATTGCTGAAAAGGTCAAGGAGTTCTTTCACAATGAGGGCATACATTCCACCACCATTCAGCCGGAGTTTAGCGAAATCGAGGCCTGCAACATGTCCGATGGTACCTCCAGCATAAACATGAGCGGCTCCGATTGCTGTGCCCTGGACTGTCCCACCACCGATGAGGGCTGTGTCAAGGCCACTTGTTGCCAAAATAACAATAAATTGGTATGCAAAAAGCCAACTTCCACTTCTTTCTTCGTACAAGCTGATTTCAAGGTGATTTCCTTTCAGAACCAACTGCCTTCACCCACCAATTCGCCTTATCTGTGTCGTCAGCGGAATGCAGCGCGTCAGGCTGGCGATGTGGAGGCTGGCTCTCTGCTGGAGGCTGCTGGTTCCAGTGGGAACCAAGGGGCTGCTGTCGGTGAAGTTAGCGACTCCCTTGCCATTGCGGCAACATCAACGCCAAAGAGCGAATTAGTCTGACAACATCCAAAGCAAACGCAAACGCAACAGCAACAGCAACCGCAACATGTAGTACACTTTGCCACGACCAAGCCAGCAGCAACAGCAACAACAACAAGATCAGCCACAAAACCGACAGAGACAGCAACAGCACCAGCACCAACACCATCACCAACAATAGCAGAAACATCATCAATACGTGATATAATGTACGAGCCAACAAGCGCCGGTAACAATGAAGAAGTGGCTTCCAGCAGTGGGTGTGGTGGCGGAGGTGGCGTTGTCGTCGATGGGAACAATCTGTCGTCGGTGACTGCCCAGCGTCGACGAGAGCTACAGTTGCGCGCCGAACAGCAGTTTGAGGAGCAGGTGACTGTGACACCGCTGCGAAGCCGCAACGGCGATGAGGTTGCCCTCTAATTGGGAGCCCAAGCTGTTTAATTAGTTTGTTAGGAGACTGGTGCTGCTATTTGGTGCAGTATTTTCGTGTGTGTTTCAGTGTTTTTGTATCCATTATTTGTTCTTAGTAGAATTTGGGCATAAATGAGAGAGAGAGTATAGCATATATTGATAGACGATAGACGATAGAGGATAGATTATGGACATGGGTGCAGGCTGATGATTGTTTGCTAGTTTAATTGGAATCAAAGGCAAAAACCACACAATTGAATGGGCCGCGAAAGTGTGGAAGTGCTTGCTGTTTTTAGGGAACATGTTTCGTTTCATTCGGTTTTTTTTTTTTGACTATATTTAAAGCATATGTTATAGCGTATGTTAATACCTAATCGAAGAGTGTATTTAATTCAAAAATAGTTATTTAAGTTTAAAGTAAACGTGAGCCCAACCAAACAGAGAAATACACATATGTACTACAGATACGTTTTTTACATTTTGAAAAGTTTATACCGTCGCAAAAAGTGAATTATTGTATTCAATATAGTTATATATAGTAAATATATCTATCTACGGCTTAGTGAATGACTAAAAGACAGTTGTACGAAATACATACTGTATGTACGCGCACATCGTATGCATTCGTTGGCATACGGTTAGGGATTCGTTAGTTAGGGATAGTGTCTCTTATTCTTAGTAGTTGTATAGTAATGCTATTTGTAAAAAGAGTTTTTACCGCAACCCAAGAGAAACTAGTTTCTATTTAATTTTAATCGTATCGAAACTTTATAATGAATATACATCATGTATTATTTAATGATCTGCATTCACTCGCAAGTGTGTATATGTTTGTAAATAAACGTCAAACATAAACGATCTACGGAAAAACACCACTACTGCTTTTATTCGAAGGCAGACATCATTTCGATTACAGTACGAAGGAGCCCAAAAATAGTAACTGGAGTCATTTCTGGGACGACTTCTGGGCCTGATCGTAATCCACTAATCCATATCCCAGCAATACAAATAGAACCTTTGTTACATTGGAAACAATCGTGGCCACCCTGCGGCAAGCACTTCAACATAATGATATATTTCTTTAAAAGGCATGCGAGTATTTACAAATGAACAATTTACAACAAAATAACAAGGATAGGATTAGATAATGATTAAGATTAGAATGAAACTGATTAAAAAAAGCAAAAAAAAGTATGTACAATTAAATTAGAGAATGCCAATTACTAGTGCTCCCCGACATCGCCGCCACCACGTTCTTCTGGTTGTAGCTGCTGTGAGAAGCGAAGCTGGCGCTATAAGTTCTCATCGAGATTCTCGTCGGTGTTCTCCTCCACAATGGCCTCATCCCAGGGTCCGTGGATGTTGAACTTGTATTTCTGCTGCCTCACGAATATGAACGGACAGACAAAGTTGATGAACAGCGTGGTGCAGGCGTAGAGGCAGAGCACGGGCCGCGATATCCAGTAGAGAGCCGCACAGCAGACGGCAAAGATGGGGATCATGAAGAGGGCATGCCAGTTGGACTCCGTGATGATTGGATACAGGACAAAGAAGATGGCAGCCTCGACGAGAAGCACAAATGCGTGGTACGACGTCGAGAGTCGCGAGGCCAGGCAGATGGCCCCGAATATGGCGGCGTTCAGCGATATGGCTTTGGAGACTACGGCCACGTCCAGTCCGTAGTTGGTGAACATCAGGTTAGCCAACAGGACGAAAAAGGTCGTGGTATATATGGTGTCCGTGCTGATGGCCTGCGTCAGAGTGTGTAGCATCGGGGAGAACAGGTAGCCAAAGAGGACAACCGTTACCAGGGTCTTTGAATCCTCTCCCAACAGCGGCATGCTAAGCTTTCTGCCGCGATAGCACAGATAACCCAATCCGGTGATTCCACAGCTAGGCAGGAGTATGGTGGTGGGCGAGACGCTGTCGCTGAGCATCATCTGGTAGAGTATCAGGAAGCCGGCTATGCAGGAGATCTGATTGTTGAGCACCGTGATGCCGGCTGTGGCTTCACTGTAGGTGTAGATTCGCACGTGGAGATTGGTACGCAGATCCTTGAGGAAGCTGGCATCGGTATAGTTGTCTGGGTATTCGCGGTTCGAATAGAGGTTCTTCACCCACGGCTTTCGTTTCTCCTGCGTTTTCTTCGGCATTTTTAAACATGGAAATTGTTTATATTTATTGGAAATCCAGTGTGACCATACTCTGAGAACAAAACAAAAAATACCAAGTCATACATGGTACTTTCGGTATAAATGCCATTTCCTACAACCGTGGACTAAGCATTTTGTTTATAATAAATACCTTCCTAAAATACCTAAATACCTGACCGTGGGATCGAACCGACCGGGCGAGTGAGCATCCAAAGAAATCCGTGCAAATGAAATGAAAAGTGGCAAGCCGAAAGCTATAGTTTTACAATAATAAACAATTGGCCGAGCCTTCTACTTTTACGTAAGATATTCCACCAAAATACTGGAGGTGCGCTCTTGTTGTTTTTGTTTGGACCGCTGCTGCTAGAATTTTGCAGCGAAAAACCCACTCGATCACACATACACATACCACCTGTTTGTTTATAACCAACACACAGACAGACAGACAGAGGAGCGGAGCCCGTGGAGCCACAAATAGTTAGGGAATTGCGTGTGTGCGCCCCCGCGAGTAGTAATCAGTAATCGTATCGTAGTTTCCGCAGTCGTCCAGTCGCGTGTCGCACATATTCGATCATTTATTTATGGCTTCAAATGCGCAGCTCGGAAAAATCATTTTGATAACCGCAATCGCCGTGTTTTTCTACTATTTCTTTTGGGTGGCGGTGCTGCCGTTTATGCTCATCGATGAAGGTGAGTACGAATCGTTCCGCTCCGAGTGGAAGCAACGACAAAAAGCAGCTGCGCTGCTGATTATACACATTTTTTTTTATTAAATAATCTCCGCACGATTTGCGGGCGGCTTTTGTGCAGTAATTAAAGTAACGCTCTTTAAATTGGACAGTTATTACTGCATGCATATATGCTATATATTCCACAATACAAACATGTATGCATATAGAATGTATGTAACAGCAGATATGTTTATATGTATATGTGCATGCATAGTAGATGCTAATGCGTAAATTATTTAAACGTTACCTGAAATGTGAATGACGCTCCCTTAGGGTTTTAGCCCTTTTCAAGGTCACTCTTCTAACACGCATTCATCCCACTCCTCTCTTTTATTCTCCCTCTCTCTCTCTCTCTCTCTTTGTCTCTCTCTCTCTTTCTCTCTATGTCGACAGGCAATCCCATACGGCTGTTTTTTCCGCCGCTGAGGTACGCATTTATAGTGCCTACTATATTCGGGGTCATCTTCATCGGCGGCATTGCCGCATTCTCCTTCTACCACATTTGGAGCCTAAAGGTGAAGCGCGATTAAGGCAGCACATGCAACAGTGATCTGAATCGGAAAGGTTATCACTTGAAGCAAACGGCTACGATTAAGCTGAAAACAGGAAAGAAATCCCAGAGTCAGTCGGCAACAAGATGCCTCAGTGGCTGGTCATCGGCATTTCGGGTGTCACTTGCGGCGGCAAGACGACCCTGGCCCACAGCCTGCACGAGTACTTCAAGGGCCTGAGCGGTGCACCGCTGTGGAACTCCCCCTACACCATTGGAGATGTGCAGCTAATCTCCCAGGACGACTACTTTCTGCCGGTGGAGGACAGGCGTCACACGCGCAACGAGGCACTGAAGGTGATCAACTTTGAGCTCCTAACCTCGCTGGACATGAGCAGGATGTTGAATGACATAGCCCAAATCATCAAGGGACGGCACCTGGCTCCCGAGCCAGCCGAGCAGTTGGTCACCTATGCAAATTTCGAGCATTATGCCCTACAATTCCAGCAGCAGTATCACCAGCACCACTACAATGCGAACTACTACAAGCAGGGCGGAGCCGTTAACGGTGCCTATCAGTATGTGCCTCAGCAGCAGCAGCAGCTCCAGCATCACCATCCACAGATCCACCAGCAACAACAGCAACAGCAGCAGCAGCTCCAACAGCAGCAGCAGCATGCGGCCCACATCATGCGATTGAATGCCCAATTCGCTGCTCAGCTGAGGGATAAGAAGATCAACTTTCTGCTGGTCGAGGGCTTCATGATATTCAACCAGCCGGAACTGCTGGCTCTCTGCAATATCAAGTACCACTTTCATTTGCCGTATGAAAAGTGCTTCGAGCGGCGCAGGAAGCGCACCTATGATCCGCCGGACGTTACCGGCTACTTTGAGCTGTGTGTGTGGCCGCACTACGAGAAAAACTTTAGCGAATATCGGGACTGCAAGGAAATTACCTTTTTGAATGGCGAAATCTCCAGGGATAAGATCTTTAAGTATGTGTTGCAGCGCATTGTCCACTACTTCGAGGAGCGCTGCGATGTCCCAGCGGCAGCGCCGCCCGCATGTCCGCCACAGCAGAAACGCTTCGGGATGCTCTACGTGGGATCGAGCAACAATAATGTTTTACCCACGGCCTGCCCCATGGAGCAGTAGTAGGAAATAAAGCCTGTAGATTAGCAAGTGGTTTTAAGTGCAGGATGCAGAAGGGGCTACAAATGTTTGGAATCTGATCGATGTCTCGTTGCCATTTTGCATCCATGCTCAAAACCCAATGTACCTTACCTTAAGGGATACATACGAGTATATGTAAAACGTTTTTATTAGTTAGTTTTATTTCGTATTTAAGATAGTTGTTATGTGGGTGAGATGTGATGACATGGATAGTCTCTCTTTGTGCGGAGAATGATCCGTGGCAGCCGCCAGATTGGATTGTGAATTGTGAAAATTGAAGGAAACCCGGTTCAGGAATTCATACTTTAGCTGTGCTAACTATTATATAACTGTATTATATTACCATACTTATGTTTTATTTTTCTCATCCCCCGAAATGCAATGAAAACCAACTAAAAAATGGTTCATTTGGTCTGGGATTTACGATGGAATATCGATGTAAATGCTTATCTACGATGGATGAACCTTGTACATATTTTAGTGTATATTTCGCCCCAAGTTTAAAGCTAGCCCCTAAGACGACTATAAACCAATATAACTCTATTTTTCTTGTGCGAAACAAAACACACACACCCACACATAATGAAAATAAAGAAACATTTAACCAGAAACTGAAAAGATAAACGAAAGTTTATAAACAACTTGCCTCATTTATACCTGGTACTCGAGTCAGCATGGTACGTGTGTTGCTATCTCGCTTCCCTGCGACAGAGCGCGCACACTGCACCAGGAAGAGTGTGAGCGAGAGAGAGAGAGAGATAGAGAGAGAGAGACGGAGTAAGCGCTTAGCCACTGCAATTCCTTCTGAAGACAAGACAGAAACAGTGCAACATATTGGTGATTTTATGGAAGAAACACACAAGACATGTAAATGATTGAATCGAATCCATTTCGAACTAATTAATTTTTTTATTCTGCTACAGAAGCCATCTACTGCATTCCAACCGGAGGATATAGGGTGTTTTATAGAACAAGAAAAATAATAAATATTTAAATTTAAAAAAAATGTATACCAATGTGAAATATACATTCTTGTCATCGTTAGTTAGGGTATTCTGTTACTGTATATGTATCCTGCTAGAATAGTGAGGAGCAGTATAGGAGTGGTGCAGCGTGGCCTGCCGTATTATTGCCAATTGCATGAGTAAGTGTTTTGCTGTTCCAATCTTGATCGGGGGGACTACATGGATTATATCAATGTACTTCATTATGCTTAGAATTATGGTAATAACTTTTCTGTTTATATATGTCGCATATGTTGTGGATCTAGCTGTGGCCTGAAGCGGCGCTATCGGTGTGGATATGGGCCGCCATGAGTCAAGCTAGAAAGGCGGCTCTAAAAAGGGTATAAGATATAGTATTCGTTAGATTGGTGTGTGCGACACGCGTAGGGTCCACTCACCGACGAACTACTATGTTTTTTAGAGGGCATCCCAGTCGATTTGACTGTTGTAGACCTCCTCTTCGAGCCACACCGCATAGTTTGCCTTAAAGTAATCTGTCAGCTCCACTTTGCGATCCCACCAGCCGGAGTGCCCAAAGAAGGCAAAGTCCGAATGAGTTAGAATCTCGTCGCTGGGAAAGCCACCTTCCACACCGTAGTCATTAAGCTGCTGCTGCTGCTGCTGCTGATTATTGCCACTATTGTTTCCGCCTCCTCCGTTGTTGCCCCCATATCCGTTCGAGTCGGCTCCTCCGTTATTGCCACCATAGCCGTTGCCTGCATTCATGTTGGACTGCTGCGAGTTCTCTGCATTCTGGGCAGCGGTGCCCCCACCGCCGTTGTTGCCGCTGCCACCACCCGCTCCGCACTTCTGGGTGGCCTCCGGATAGCGTCGCAGATTGAAGCGATCCACACAGGCCCGCAGCGTGCACTCCTCCGCCTGGAAGTCCCAGGGACGCGACTCGAGATCATTGCCAAAGGCCCAGTCGTCGTTGAGGCGATGACGCACCTTGGAATAAATGGCGCTCATGGTCTTCATGTTAGACTTGCGCCACTGGCGTCCCAAATACTTGGTCTGCATCTTGAGGAGTTTTAGCACATACAGCTGCATCATGGCATGACGAACCTTGAGCGTCTTCTTGAGGATGGGGGCCGACTTGAACACAACCAGCATCATGACGCGCGAGTGCTTCCATTTGATGAGCTTGTTGAGGATGCGCAGCAGATTGATGCACGAGAAGACATTACGCCAGGAATAGGGCTTGTCGGACATGTCGGCGCCATAAACGAAGCTGTCGCCGCTTAGGTCCGGCTGCTCCCCAATCACGCAGGAGGGGAAGTCGAGCAGTGGGATGTTGTTCTTCGTGTTGACGTACTCGGTGATTGTCTGATTGAAGAACTTCAGTACCAAGGGAATGCAGTTGGCGAACACCAAATGCTGTGACATGAACTCAAACTGATAAACGTGATTGATTTTGAAGTGCTTCAAGTAGAGCAAGATAATGGCCGAGACGGCCTTGACAATGATCTCCTTGTGCCTGCCCATGTCCACTGTCAGCTTGGTCGACTGTGTGGCCGTCAGCGGCATCTTCTTGGGCAGCACATCAGCCATTATGTTGATGCTCTCCGTCTTGGACTTGGATGTGGGCGAGGCCGCGAGCAACACCTTCAGCAGGGCTATCATGTATTGCGGGAGGTTGGGCAGGATTGCCTGGTACAGGATTTCTGCTGGCGTTAGCTTGATCTCATCCTCGTGCGTGGAAATGGGATTCCTGGCAATGTCCTCCTCCTTCTTTATCTGCATATCCGCCAGACTCATGTACATGTGCCGCTGCAGGGTCTTGAATCCCTCGTGTATGGGCTGCGGTAGGCCCGCCAGGCTCTCGTGATCCCCAATCAGGGAGTAGCCAATGAATTTGTTTCGCGAAATGTCCAAGAACTGATCAATGTCCTTCTGCCGCACCTTGGGCGTCCAGGGCAGACGCGCCGTGATCTGCACTGGGGGAGCTGCGGCGAGAGGTGCTGTTAGGCTGGGCTGATTGTTGGGATTGGCTGTCGCTGTGTTTGAGGCTGAGGACGAGGGGTCATCGAAGGGTCGATAGTACTGCAGAAGTTCCTCCTCACCATTGCTTCCCCCGTTGTTGCCACTAGCATTGTTGGCATTCCCCGATCCCTCGTTGCCACTCATCTCCATGTCGATTTGCTCCGGCTCGTCCAAGAAGCGCTGCTTCATCAGCGATCGTCTACTACGAACAGAATAAACGTGTCAATAAAACCAATCCTCCTTAAAAGGGACAAATCCTACTCACTTGAAACTCCTCTTAGGATACTGATTCTCCAGAATATCCGTTGCGGTGGCGGGGGGTGAGCTGGCTCTCATGCATTTTGTGACCTCTAGCGTATCCTCTTTGATCGGATCCAGGCCCACCTTCAGTCGATACTCATTTTTGAGATTCTTCAGGACATCCATGCCACCAAGTCCCAGGAGCGAGACCTTCCAGAGCAGCAGGACCACCTTCTTCATGGGAAACTGTGGAGCAGCGCCACTGCAGAAGCGCGTAATCATGCCAAGCAATTTGACGGCCAGCAGCTCGCCATCGGCCAGGGGGGAATTTATCTCCTGGACAAACGACTCGGCCAGATCTTTGTAGTCCTCACTAGCCTTTTCGCGTTCATCTCGAATGGTTTCCGTTATGATGTACAGCACCGAGAGTATGACTCGGATGTCTGTGGAGTCCACCAGGGTGACGTTCGTGATCTTGACGGCCACAATGTCGGGGGAGCAGGCACTCTCGATCTCCATATTGAGCAGATCGATGAACGACGAAAAGACGCCCAGGTCGTAGAGAACAATTACATTGTCTCGCGTATTCTGGTGCTGCTCCTCATCCGATTGCACCTCGGCCCAGCAGCCCTGAGCCAGATA